GAGAGAGAGGGAGTCACAGACTGAAACAGGCTCCAGGCTCTGAGCTGGCAGTCAGCACAGAGCCCAACGCGGGGCTCGAACCCATGAACCGCGAGATCATGACCTAAGCGAAAGTCGGACGCTTAACCGACTAAGCCACCCAGGCGCCCCTCCAGTGCTCTTTCTGGGCAGCTCTCTGAGCCCAGTTCTGTGAGCAAAACAGTAAACACTGACAGGATCCCCGGCCTTAGATGGCTTGTGGGTCAAGGGGCAAGCTGGGAGATTCAGCCGAGGGCAGCTGGAGGGCAGGGGCCTCCCCCTACCCAGCACAGAGCCTGGCACACAGAAGACATGCCCCACTCAGGGAACAGAGGATCAAAATAAAACACCTCCTGTGAGCGGGAAATGGGAGCCCAGAGAGGCTGAGCGGGGAGCTCAGGGCCTACAGGAAACAGAGGTGACTAGAACTCTCCTAACCAAGGACAGTCACAAGGAAGACAGTGGCTTAAGTTTCTCTTTCTCTGCTCTAGGTCTCAACTTGAGAGAAAAAGGCAAAAATGGCAGCCAACTGGCCTAAGGGAGAATTTCGAGGCCTGAGAACCTCTCTGAGGGGAGAATGGGGCACCGGAATGCGCATGGGTTGTGTCTTCATTTTCCAGATGAGGAAACTGAGGCCCAAAGAGACAAAGGGACTTGGCTGCAGTCACTCATCAAATCTGACTGATAAAAACTGTGAACATCTGCTGGGCAGAGCCTGAACCCCAAACGGGGTGGGTCAGGGGTCACTGGTCAGATGACGGAAGGGAGATGGAAAAGAACGGGAAACTTATTTGTGGGGCAGGAATCAGGAGGAGAGGAAAGGGGCACCAAGCCCCGGGTCTCATGCCACCAGCCCTTCCTGTCCCCAGATTCCAGGCACTCACGCCTGCATCTGGTCCCACTCACCCCACTCCACTATGACGGGCGCCCCACTAGACACTTCGCCTTGAACTAACATTCCCACTTGTGCTGTGACGTACGCCTCAGCATGGCTGTGTGACATGGGGCAAGTTCCAGCCTCCCTGTTGTCACCTGAGTGGCTAGAGCCCAGGGTCCCCTGGCTCCAGAGTGATGATTTCTCAGAGTGGAACACCCCCAGGGAAGCTGGACACGCCCACAGTGAACACACAGTTAAGAGATTTTGGTTCAGGTCCCAGTTCTGCCACGAATACTTTGTGACTTTGGCTAAGTCTTTCAGTCTCTCTGGGCCTCAGTGTCCACAGTGTTCACGCACTCAGGAGTCAGGGCACCGGAAGATGAGAGACCCCACAACTGCATGGGGTCCCCACTATCAACCCACCTGCCCTCCCAGGAATGCAGCCCAGTGTGGGATAAATGCTAACTTCCTACAGGGCCTTGGTCTTTTATGCCTCCTCCCTGCTCCGGGGCAGGGCCTGGGGCTCAGTCCCTGTTTGTGGAATGAAAAGGAAGTCGGCCTCAGGACAGGTTTCTCCCTCTTATCCTCATAATCACTCTGGGCCACTGCTTTTAAGTAGCCTCATTTTTGAGCCAACCAACTCGCCAAGGCCTTGGCGCCTGTGAACAAGGAAGTCTCTGATGGCCTTAGGTGGTAGAGGGCCATGCTCTGCTCCTGGTGGGCCAGCCAGGCCAGAACCATCTCTCGAGCCCCCTTGGAGCATCCGGAGGCGCTTCCTGCTCTGGGCCCCTTCCCAGACTTCACGCTTCCACCTTGGCTGAACGCAAAAGCTCCCCATGCAAGGAGGGGCGGCTGGGACCAAGCTCGCTCTGGGAGTCAGGGAACGGAACGCAGGAGGCACCGGGGCCCCTGTCCGCATGCACCCTGGTGCTCTGCGACCCACTGCCACCTGCCCCATTCCTGCCAGGCGGGGAAACAGAGGCACGGGGCAGGGTTCCCAGTGTGCAACCTCCCCCTCCCGGCGCAGCCCTCACCGGCATGACCGCGTAGGTCTTCAACGCATGGTTCAGGCTGCGAACCAGCGCCCACTTGCCCTGCTGCTTGGAGCGCGCCTCGGCGCATTCGGAGGGGTCCGAGGGGTCGGCGGGGTCGGCGGGGGGCTCCATGGCGCTGTCGGCCTGGCGGCGGCGGCGGCTCTCCTCGGGCTCCCTAATTCACCTAATCCCGTGCGCACCGCCACCGGGGAACCCTAAACCCGGCCATCTGTTGCGTGCCCATGGCAACGGCGGCTTAGGTGACGCCCGCGGGAACGGGGAGGGGGCGCCCTCACGGCCCTGGCCCATCTCCCCAGGACCCCCAGCACCTCATCGTGGCGGGGATTCGCCGCCAGCTTCACGGCGACCGCAGCGTGTGGTGCCGCAGAACCAGCCGCGGACCTTAGCCTGAAGCAGGCACCTGGAAACTCGCCCTGACGGCAGCTTCATAGAAAATCTGTATGTTTTCTTTGGAAAGAAATGGAGGGATGTTATGGAGTGGAACGCAATAAACGTCATAGTTTTTTAAGACGGACCGGAAGGTGCCTGAGAGATCCTCCTAGCTCACTGGCTACCTCTGGAAAGGGATGGCAGGTAAAATCTTCCCAAGGGTAGAGATGGGGGGCTTGGGGGGAGGGGCGAGGGAAGCTTGGGGACAGTCTGTCTCTGATCTTCTTCCCCCAGCCTGGAGGCCAGCCAGCTGGTCATCTGCAGCAGGCAGAGGAGGCGCCTGGGGGAGGGTGTCCCCTGGTTCTCCAGGACAGTGGGCACCACGCTGGGTTGTGTCCTGGCAGCCACACAGCCCTGGGCACCCGGCCTGGGTCCATGCTGGGCAGTGAGCCACCACCCTATCCAGCATGGGCAGGCCCGGGGCCTCTGCTCCTGCTCCCTTCTCCCCTCTCCCAACTTTTGTTTTCTTCCTCCCCTTCCCCTCCTTTCTCTCCTTCTTCAAGGCCTATTGTTTCCGTATTTGGCCCTTGGCATTATCTAGAATCCTGGAAGCCTAATCAGCACCACAAAAACAAGCCGACCACAGCAGGGAGCAGGGGAATGGAGACGGGAGCTGCCCCACTGGACCTGGGCTGCCTTCTACCCCAAGCCCCTGTCCCAGCCTCAGGGACCCAGCTCTCTGCCACCCTGTACAAAGCCAATCGACTGCAGTGATTCCCGCCTACTTTCTGTGCCCTCTCAGGGACCCTGCCCTCAGGAGGGGTCCTTTCCCCAGTCAAGCACAGAATAAGCACATCTATCCCTGTCCCACCCACCCACAGGAGTCTGTGGGAGAAGGGCCTGCAGACACAGGAAGGTGCTGGGGGTGTCCATTTAACTCGCCTTCACAGGCTCAGACCAAAGCTTAGGGGACACCATCCCCACACCTTCCAGCCTGGGGATGGACCAGATCCAGACCCAGCTAAGGATAGTGCCACCAGGTGAGGGACGGATTAGTCCTGGGGAGTCCATGGCCACTAAGCTGTTGGGCTCGGGACCCAGATGGCCTAGGGTCAACCCCGGCTAGGCCGCTCAAGCTGCGTAAGCTTGGGCAAGTTGCTCAACCTGTACGTTCCTTTGTTTCCGCATCTGTGGGATGATAAGAGAACAGTATCTCATGAGTTGCTTGTGAGGATTAAAAAGGTTTGTGTGTGTAACTCACTCTGATTGGTTCCTGTTAATGACAAATGGCTGTAGGAGTGTTGGTTATTATTAACTGAGCAAGTCATGTGAGGGGGGATACCTGGGCGCTATGGCTATTTCTGGCAGACATGAGAGGGAAGGGCACTCCAGAAGAGGGAAGAGCGAATCACAGAGAAGAGAGGGAAGAAGGAAGAGATGGTAAATCAGGTCCACTGGATAGAGAGGCCCCCTCAGGGAGACCCGGCAAGCAGTCAGAGCCTGGTTCTGCCTGACCCAGACCCCTTGCTCAACCCCATGCACCCAGGCCACGCCTAGCTGAAACCTGGGATTAGGCCCCTGCCCTGCAGGCAGCCTGCACACCAGGTCTGGGAAGTAAGTCTAGCGCCCCTGGGACCCACTCTGGCATCACCAGATCCTCTCCCAGAACCAGGGCTCACTGCTGTTCCAGCCTCATCTCCTGCTGCCCTGAACACACAGGATAGGGTCTCTCTAGCCTCACCTTTGCCTTTTTTTTTTTTTTTTTTTTCAGTTCCAACGTGGGACTTGAACTCACGGCCCTGAGATCGAGACTTGAGCTAAGCTCAAGAGTCAGATGCTTAACTGACTGAGCCACCCAGGCGCCCCTCCTCACCTTTGCTTGTGCTGAGCCCTCTGCCAGAAATGCTTCCCCTCACTATCCTCTTCCCTTCCCCCACCCCAGCACCCAGGCTCCACAGAGACACGGCCCACCTGTTCTAAACACCCCCCTCTCAGCTATCTTCTGTTCTGTGCTTCCTTAGTGCCTCACACAAACTCGCTGTGCTGCCCTCACCCCGCCACACCACTGTCCAGTCCAGTCCTGGCCAGATGGGGAGACTGGGGTTCAGAGGGGGTGGAGGGACCTACCCAAGGATTGATACCAAGTTGGGACAAAAAGCTTCCATTTAGTAACTATGCCAACTGTTATGAGCAAGTGACATCAAGAAAAATGGCAAAGAAGAAACTCAAGAACTCATCCCTTTACAAAAACACTAAAAAATATGGCAAAAATGGTCAGAATCAACAGTACTAGAACCTGAGAAAATAATAAAATGTTTCTAGTCACCAACTGAACATTTGATAAAGAGAAAGGGGACCAAAACCCAGCAGGAGAGCTTTGTGGTGTTTTGACCTACCTCCCCCTGCACCACTCTGTAGCAATCTTGATGAGGGAAGTTTCTATTCCTGGTGTGTGTTCTTAGGGCCAGACGGGGCAGAACGACCCATCATCAAAAAATTATGATTGCCCTAACCTGTCTGGGAGCTCCCAGAAAGGCTTGCCTTTATTTCTCAAACTTGGAACTCCCTGCGGGGTGGGGGAGCAGCTAGGGAGGGTTTGGGTCAAAAACATGAAAAGGCAGGGGTGCCTGGGTGGCTCAGTTGGTTGAGTGTCTGACTTCGGCTCAAGTCATGATCTCATATTTCACGAATTCGAGCCCTGTGTCGGGCTCTGTGCAGACAGCTCAGAGACTGGATCGTGCTTTGGATTCTGGGTCTTCCTCTCTCTATACCTATACCTCTCCCTTGCTTATTCTCTCTCTCTCTCTCTCTCTCTCAAAAATAAACATTAAACATTAAAAAAAAAAAACATTAAAAGACAAATGAGCTACCCACTACTACCTGGGGGGCGAGGGCATGGGAGGTGGAAATAATCATTTGGAACAAAGAACAGACACTCCAAAAAGCCTGCAGGAAATCCAGGGGAATCTGGGTTTTGAAAAGCTCCTGCATACAGTGGGGAATCTAGAAAACCTCATACATGCCAGGGGTTGGAAGAATGTTCAGAAAAAGCCCAAGAATACCCTAAGCTCTTACTTCAAACTGACCTTCAAGCTCCCTGTAGACAGAAAGTGAATCTGGCTAAGACAGGGCTGTGAACGGCCTGAGCATTGAAGGCACCCCCCAACACACACACACAGGGCTCCGCCACAGGACTGAAAGTGTTTTTGTTTTGTGTTTGGCTCTCGGAGTTTTCAAAACCTCAGGGCCAATGCACAACAAAGAATACACTCTTCATAAAGATAGTTCTGAAATGTCACTAAACTATAAGTCACAAGAAGCAATAACAAACTGGAGAGAAAGAGAAGAATCAGACTTTCAGAGTTATCACATTATATTTTATTTTATTTATTTTTTTAAATATTTTTTTAATGTTTTATTTATTTCTAGGAGAGAGAGAGATAGCGTGAGCAGGGGAGGATCAGAGAGAGAGGGAGTCACAGCCTGAAACAGGCTCCAGGCTCTGAGCTGGCAGTCAGCACAGAGCCCGACGCGGGGCCCGAACCCACAACCGCGAGATCATGACCTAAGCAAAAGTCAGACGCTTAACCGACTAAGCCACCCAGGCGCCCCTATCACATTATATTTTAAATGTCCAGTGTTCAACCAAAGATTATGAGGCATGCAAAGAAACAAGGATGGCCCATTCGCAGGTAAAAAGCAACCAATAGAAACTTTCCCTGAGGAAGCTCAGACATTGGACTTCATAGACAAAGATTTTTTATCAACTCTCTTAAGTATACTCAAAGAACAGAGGGAACCTGAACATCTCACCAAATATAGAGTATCCATAAAGAGGCAGAAAGTATTAAAAGTGACAGCTACAACATTAGCAGTTGAAAAGTATAATAGCCCATGTGAAAAATTCACTAGAGGCGTTCAACAGCAGATTTGAACAGGCAGAAGGAAGAAAGAGTAAACTTGAAGATAAGTTCATTAGATTATCCAGTCTGAGGGATAGGAAAAAAAAAAAAGTATTCGGAAAAATGAGCAGAACCCAAGAAACCTGTGGGACATCAGGTGGCCCAACATACGCGCGATGGGAATTATCATCCTACATCTCGTGTATGCAAGGAGAGGAGAAGAGAAAGGGGCAGACACAATATTTGAAGAAATAATGGTCAAAAACTTCCAAAACTTGATGTAAAGATATAAATCTACATCCAAATAACTCAATAAATTCCAAGTAGGATGAACTCAAAAAGAGCCACATTGAATCCTAGCCATAACAATCAGACAACAACAACAACAAAAGGCACCCAAATTGGTAAGGAAGAGGTAAAATTGTCACAATTTGTAGATGGCATGATACTATATATAGAAAATCCAAAAGACTCTACCAAAAAAACTACTAGAACTGATAAATGAATTCAGTAAGGTCGCAGGGTACAAAATCAATATACAGAAATCTGTTGTATTTCTATACACCAGCAATGAAGCAGTGAAAAGAGAAATTAAGAAAACAATCCCATTTACAATATAAATACCGAAGAACAGTCTTAACCAAGGAGGTGAAAAACCTGTACTCTGAAAGCTATAAAACACTGATAAAAGAAATTAAAGACAATGCAAAGAAATGGAAAGACAGTCCATGCTCATGGAATGAAAGAGCAAATATTGTCAAAATGTCTATACTACCCAAAGCAACCTACACGTTTAATGCCTTCCCTATCAAAATACCAACAGCATTTTTCACAGAGCTA